GCTGGGAGGGCTGACAACTACAGAGAGCCTGCTTTATGTTCCTCTGCAAACTTTAGTGTGGTACTTTCCCCATAGTACATAACTTGGGCATTGATCTTTCCATTTCAGTTGCTTCCATTTAGCTGTTGGTAAAACAGAATGCTTGAAGTGTTTTAAAAAACTACTTATATGCACAAGCCATCAGAATCTGGCACTTGATTTTTAGATCGTCTCAAATCTCACTTTTGGAGAATCTAGATTGATTTGGGAGACTATTAATTGAAACTGTCTTCTAAAGAGTAGATTTAAATAGTGCTAGCACTTTTTGGTATATGGATTATTCCTATCATTTATCTGACTGTTCCTTAAATGAGAAAATATATTTGAATGAGAGACCCATTAATTCTTTCCACAGGAACATGATGATCCTATGGCTTACATCCACTTCACTGCTGAAGGAGAAGTAACATTCAAGTCTATCTTGTTTGTTCCCAACTCGGCTCCACGTGGCTTGTTTGATGAATATGGATCCAAAAAAAGTGATTTTATAAAGGTAAAAATGAATGTTTTTAAACGTAGAACAAACTTAAATTTCCTTTAAAACATCTAACTCCTGTTCTGTTGTCATGCAGTTATATGTCCGGAGAGTGTTCATTACTGATGACTTCCATGACATGATGCCCAAATACCTCAACTTTGTGAAAGGTGTTGTAAGTATTTTTTTTTTTTAATTTATTTTTAAAAGGCTTTTTATCTGAATCATGTTCATTAGGACTATTTTATTTATTTATTTATTTATTTATTTATTTATCTCCTTTTCTCTCACAGGTTGACTCTGATGATCTTCCTCTGAATGTATCCCGTGAGACACTACAGCAGCATAAATTGCTAAAGGTATTTAGATGCAACTTGATAAGTGATATCAGCAGAAAAGAGGAATAGACCAGTGGCAGGCAATTATTTTGGGCAGAGGGCTGCTTATTGAGTTTTGGCAAGCCATCGAGGGCTGCATGACAGGCATCCGGGGCAGATGAATATTTATTTTCTACATTTTTTTTATGGGCCCTGCAGGCCAGATAGAATGGCCTGGCAGGCCACATCCAGCCCACGGGCTGCATTTTGCCCGCCCCTGGAATAGACTAAACATCACAAGATTTTAGAGCGGGAGAGCAGAAAATAAATAGCTTTCAATTGGTATTATATAGCTATTCTAGCAGGCCCCATTAAATTTAGGAATAAAACGCAAGGAGCAAAGCAATGTCTGTGCTGCTTAACTTAATTAAAAATTAATAAAGTAGCCTGACTCTTTTTATAATTCATGCCCTGGTTTAAAAAAAAACACAAACAACTGATTTCATGGCATGTAGTAAAACAGAATGAAAGTGGGGTGGCTTAGTGTCCCATGCATCGGGTACTGCGTTTTGAAGTACTGTCAAGTAATATCTCAAAAATTGATTGTTCTCATTGTTCTTATTAAGTCTGAACTTTTTTTGGGTCTGGCTCTTTTTAGGTTATTAGGAAGAAATTAGTCCGTAAAACTCTTGACATGATCAAAAAAATTGCTGAAGAAAAGTACAATGATACATTTTGGAAAGAATTTGGTACTAATATAAAACTTGGAGTGATTGAGGATCACTCCAACCGTACTCGGCTTGCTAAACTTCTTCGCTTCCAATCTTCTCATCATGAAAGTAACCTTACTAGTCTGGACCAGTATGTAGAAAGAATGAAAGAGAAACAAGACAAAATTTACTTCATGGCAGGTTCGAGCCGAAAAGAGGTAAGAGCAAAAGATATGCAGTTTTAAATATCCAAAAATGTTTTAAACTAGAAAACTTTCCTGGATTCAGTAAACAAGCAAGAAGTAATTCAAGAAATGTATTATTGTTTTAAATTGTCACCATGCTTGATGGTTCCATGTTTTGGAAGGCTCTTGTAGTATATCTGTGTTAACTGCCATTCAAAGTGACTTCTTTTTAGAAAGGTTTTTCTGGTAAGGGTTTTATATATAGCAGAGCAACTACCTCAATGTTAGCTATTGAAAGTCAGCCTTTGACGCAAGCTTTTGTAAAGTGCCTGCACAATTTATTGACTAATGACATACCAGTAATTCTTGGTGTTAAACAGTATATTAAATAAGCTTCTAAATTAATTTGTCTTCTTAGGCTGAATCTTCACCATTTGTGGAACGTCTTCTGAAAAAAGGTTATGAAGTGATATATTTGACTGAACCTGTAGATGAGTACTGCATTCAAGCTTTGCCTGAGTTTGATGGTAAGAGGTTCCAGAATGTTGCTAAGGAAGGAGTGAAGTTTGATGAAAGTGAAAAATCTAAGGAGAGTCGGGCAGCCTTGGAAAAAGAGTATGAGCCACTCTTAAATTGGATGAAAGAGAAGGCACTGAAGGACAAGGTATAAACTCTATTCTAAGAATAGGTTATTTTTGTGTATGTATGGTGTTTGACAAATTCTCCCATCTGATCAGACTTAAACTTTGGTTATTTATCCCTTCAATGGGAGACTATGCAGAGGACTGCTCTTAAGAAAACTGACTATCAGAATTCAGATACAAATGGCCTTTAAGAAGTAAGTGTTAACAGGATATTAGGACTTACTTTCTGACAATTTTTAATGAAGGCCTTGAAAATTTCTTTTTAATAACAGTATTGTAAGAGTACTTCTGAACTGATTTATAAATTTAGTAAATTATTCCTTCTTAGAGCTGTCAGAAAATCTGATTGCTAGAATTGAATGGTAAATCAACTGAGGGGCTAACAGAGTGCTGCATTTACTCTGAAGATTTCGGGGGGGGTCCCCATTCAGCATTTGTGGCAGGGGGTGGGAACACGCATCCTCTTGTCTTCGATTTCAAGCATGAGGTGGGGTGGCAGCTGCAGTTCTGGCCCTGGCCCTGGCCCTGGCCCTGACTGACTGCTGCTCCAACTCAGACTCGGAGCCTGTCACCCGTGCCTCTGACCCTTTTTTTTTTTTCTACCTCCCCATTCCCTGCCTCCCCTCCCCTGCAAACTATGGCCAGGGATAAGGGAGTACATTTTGTAGCTCTGGCTCCATCCCCCACCTGGGGTAAATGCATATATTAGAAAAAACCTTTATTCAGCTAGTCTAAATGTTTGGGGGGTTGTTTCGTAGATTGAAAAAGCTGTGCTGTCTGAACGCTTAACTCAGTCTCCGTGTGCGCTTGTGGCTAGCCAATATGGATGGTCTGGCAACATGGAAAGAATTATGAAAGCTCAAGCATACCAGACTGGCAAAGATATCTCTACAAAGTAAGCTTTCACTATTGATTATCTGTCAAATGGTATCAGCGGATATGAGTCGTTATTGCTATAATATACTAACAGCTATGGGTAAACAAAATGCCTACATATTGGTCACAGTGGCTCTCCATAGACTTAATGTTAACACTATAACTAGTTTAAATGAAATGTCCTTTTGGAATTTGTAGTCTGTAATCTGATTTTTATTTGAAAACAGCCTGTGCTTTAGGCCCAAACTGTTAACAGCATGTATATGTGATAGTTTCCTTTTCTACAAGCACTTTATGGTTGTTTACAACCTCACCACTGTTGATGAGATGAGACATCTTTACGAAGTCTATATATCTCATCTATATGCTTTCTACTAACTGAATCGGAGATGCATATACTTTTATGAACCACAGCTCACCTTTATGTAATTTCAACTCATTAGTTTTAGGTCTAAGCTTTTAGATGAGCCAATTTTCTATACCTTTTAAAGTGTTTAAAGTAACTTTAATCAGTAGGGGCTTTGTTTTAGCCCACAGCAAGCATTCAGTGAGGGCAATCTTTACATGCATGAGCTGTCATAGCAAGGATTACATACCTCCCTAAGAAAAGGAGCTTTGACATGTTTGTTGCTGTTGAGGCAAATATAAGTTTCTAAAGTTCAATAAAATTTGTGATAAAAAATCCCACCACATAAATTAAAACTTGGAACAGCAGTAGGAACTAACTATCAACTGTATGCCAATCTTGCATGCTAGTAAAAGCCTGGAAGCCATCTATAGTGGACTGTTCTAAAGTAAAGAGAACTCTGGACTTACACTGTGAAGGAGCAGGGGTGGAACAAGTATTTAAACTGTATTACTGACGCAAGATTTGTTCTCTTTTAGCTACTATGCTAGCCAAAAAAAGACACTTGAAATTAACCCTAGACATCCATTGATTAAGGACATGCTCAGACGCATTAAGGTAATTGAGTGCAAAGAAGTGCAATATTGGTTGTTTAGTTGTGTGCATTCTTTTTTTTATTTATTTATTTATTTTTAAATAATTCTTAATGCTTCCAAATCAGGAAAATGAAGATGATAAAACAGTTGCAGATCTTGCTGTGGTGTTGTTTGAAACTGCAACTCTAAGATCAGGCTATATGCTACCAGACACAAAGGAATATGGAGATCGAATAGAAAGGATGCTACGTCTAAGTTTAAACATTGACCTTGACGCAAAGGTTAGTTGCCTTTTTTATTTTGAAAATAAAAGTACCAAAGGTCACACCCACAGAATTTGGAAAAAAAAAAGGGATGTCTCACTTCCTCAAGGCAAAATTTGAGATGTAGAATATGTGACCACCTCAAAGGTCAGGTGATGTTATTTTTAAAAAAACAAACAAAACAAAAAAAATCCCACTTTATCCACTCTAAAGACAGACAGGCTGTTAGTGACCAGTTTTTAAGTTCCTGCTTCACTGGTTACAGTTTAGGCTGCTTTAAACTCCCCAGTCAATTTGTCCAAGGAATCCTGCATCAACTTAAGAAAAAAACCAGTGTACTCTGATGTGTCTCCCCACCCAACAACTTTCTTTTTTTTTTTTTTTTTTTCTTTCTTGCTCCTTCCATCAAAAACTGACTACGTGTGAATAGTTTCAGAACCAGCTTATACCAGCTCCATTTCAGCTGGAAGTGCTCACAGTGGTGGAAATCCACAGCAGGCTATGTAGACTTCTTGGCCATGTCCACAGGAGTGCAGATGTTTGGTTCCCCAGGGGCAACTGGTGGCAGGACACCTTGTGCTGCTACCACTTGTCCCCAGGGGAACGCCTGTACCACATGCCCTTGTGTGTGGCAAGTTACCCCACATGGGGTAGAGGAGGCTGGGGCTAACATTGGGCTAGCCCCAGTAGCCTTACCTGGGTTCCAGGGGCTCCCGGGGCTGTAGCAGCAGTGATCCTGCTGCTCTGAGCCTGGCTGGCTGGCCAAGCTCTGGTTTTGAGTGGCACATGCAGCCCCCATATGTGCTGCTCTTTTTTTTTTAGCGCAGATTTTTTTGTCCCTTGGATATCCAGGAGTTTAAAAACAAAAAAAAACAAAAAAAAAAAACCCAAAAAAACTCCCCACACTGCTCGCTTGCAGCATGGAGAACAAATGTGCAGTATGTGGCACTACAGACGCATCTGCCGTGCTATACCGCACGGCTGTGCTTGTCTGGTTGCGGCCTTTTTGGTTTTCTTTTATTTGCTCCCCAAATTGCATAAAGAGGATTTGGCCCAATACCTTCTTTCAGTGTGATGGTCAGTTTTTCTCAGACATGTTTCTCCAGTGGAGTCTTAACACAGGGGAAAAAAAAAAAAAAAGAGATTAGGGAATGGGGGCGTTTCCTTGCAAACAACTTAATTTAATTTCAGCTAGTTAAGTCTGTCAGACAGTTGGTCAGGTCTGTTTGGTTTGTGCTGTACTGTATCAAAAACCATTAATAGTCCATTCTTACACCAGCTTTATTCTGATTCTTCTGCATCTCCTGTCCATTACCATTTAAAGCTTTGTAAATGGATAAATTGAAAATGGAATAACAAACATTAAACTACCTACAGGTAGAGGAGGAACCAGAGGAAGAACCTGAAGATGTAACTGAAGAAGCAGAGGAAGAAGAGGAAGTAGAAGCTGATTCTGAAGAGAGTGAAACACAGAAGGTCAGTTCTCAAAAAGGCTTCTTAATAGGCAAATTCTATAAAATTGAACTTGGGTAACACAATGTGCTTTCAAAAACAATATTTTCATGTACTTCAGTGAGCCATATAATGGTGGATGTAGGGAGGGTAAGGAATAGGGATGGGTTACTCCAGGTATACCTGGATTAGTGCTCTCCCTTCTAAAACAGGTGTTCAACTCTCCGGCCTGTGGGTCAGATCCAGGTCATGGTGCTGTCATTTGGCCTGTAGGGAACCCTGGGCCCCTGCATGCTGGATCAGGTGCCTGATCCCAGTACATAGGGGCAGCACTGGGGTCCAATCCTGGCATATGGGGCTCTCAGGCCTGCAGATTGGCCTTGCATCACTCACCTGGTCTGTGGGACCAAAAGGTTGATCACCTCTGCTCTAAACTGGCCACTCCCACAATTGTCAGAGATGGGACACTGGGCTAGATGGACCATTGGACTGACCCCGTATGGCACTTACATTCTTAACAGGTCAGATATTTAGGGAAGCAAATATCGGTTTCAATGAGCTGTTGCACAGATATACATCAGATCTGTCAGCTTACAGAAATCTAAGGTAGTCATTAGCTTTGAGCAAGTGCTACTACTTGACTCTGTCAAGTTTGGGCTAAAATGAAGATGAAAACAGGACAATTAAACTTTATTAGCTTGGCTCTAGAGTGGACTCCAGACCAGGCTATTGCCTCATTACTTGACTCATTTTGTTAATGCTAATAGATTTATTTATTTTTTGTTTGTCTTACAAAGCTGGTAAAAAATAAAATTAAACAAGCAAGAAGTCTAACCTGCTACAGCAAACTTACTAATTTAGACAGTGGCAAATAACTTTGCAAAATTGAATACTACTACTTATCAATAGGGAAACTTTGGAGTTGTTTTTGTAATTGAACATGTTATAACTTAAACTTGAGGGCTTGATGGTTGTTAACTAATGTAGTCCTACTTAAGTTGGTAGCTAATGGAGTTGCTTACTGATGTTCTAGAATACTTTTGTATAGAACTGGTTGTCCCCTCATCTGATCAGTGGTAGCACTTGTGGATTTCCTAACCAAAACTGAGCAAAAATGGCTCACCATTATCTTCGTTGTACTGACAAGTTATCCTGAAGAGTTTGAAATTGGGCTTGTGAGAATTCATCTGCAAAATTTACAAATTCAGGTTTATTTAAAAATTAGATCTGCTACTGGTGTTTTAGCAGAAAACCAGAATGGAATCATCCTTGGCCTTTTACCAAAACTACCCTATCTAGTTATTTTTTGCAGAATGTAAGTTAAATAGGTATAAACAGTATCATTTTTAATGAAAGCTAAACATCTTTCCTGAAAGTGCTGCGATAGCAACATCCAACAGTGAGAATTGTTTTTTGTTGTCTGCATGTCTCATCCTCAAAACAACTTAATCACGGTTCTATGCCAGTTTCTGTAGTACTAAGTGGAGGGGTCTGGTTTGCAGTGTAATCTTTTTGCAGGCACTAACCTTTGTAGATAAGTAATCTCTAAATTCATACCTTAAACTTATTGTCTGTTCATTTTCTAGGAATCCACAGATGTGAAAGATGAACTGTAAACTTCATTTTCACAACTAGCATCCTATGTCTGGGGTGAGGAGGGAATGTGAATTAGATTGTTCTGTTGTTTTCACTGTAAAATGTTGAGGGGGTGGTGCGGGATTATGGGCAGAGGAGAATTTTTTTTAAGTTGAATTTTTTAAAACATTCCTCACGAATGTAAATTTGTACTATTTAACTGACTCTTCTTGATGTAAAATCTTGTCATGTGTACAAAATAAAATGTTCCCAAACACCATGTAACTAAATCCTACACAAAATGTTCATCATTCCTAGTGTGTACTAATGCATACAGGAGTGGATCTGTTTTTGTTTCGTTGTGTGTGTGGTGTGTGTGTTTTTTTTTTTTTTTGTTTAAATAATGTTGGCTTGCTTGGTTATTTTTAACAGTCCATGTGTACAAGGAAGAAACTGGCCATATTGAAGACTATGGTTTAAATACTTGGCTCAGAGTGCCTGGTTCAAGATGGTAACGAGACAGCAAGCACATCTTCCCTTCCGTATTTAATGTGCACTGTTTAAAATGTAGTATGGTACTGGGCATCTAAAAACATATATAAATGTGTGGTACCCACATGGACTTAAAGCACTAAACACTAAAGATTCATAGATGCTAGGGTCGGAAGGGACCTCAATAGATCATCGAGTCTGACCCCCTGCATAAGCAGGAAAGAG